GGGGCCGAGGGGGCAAGAAGGGCAGACCTTCTTGCCCCCGATGTGTCTGCGGTGCATATTATACTATGGTCTATGCATTTTTATTACATGTCTATGTCATGTGATCGTCCGGCGTGTCGTGTGATCGTCCGGCTTGTCATGTGATCGTCCGGCTTGTCATGTGATCGTCCGGCTTGTCATGTGATCGGCATCATGTAATTCTAATTGGAATAAGTTGACGTGTGTATAGTTAGTAGTTACATACAACACTGAAGACGGTCGGAGTTGTGCGTTTCATATGCTGGCCGTGCTTCCTGCCTAGTAACACTGCGCGGTGATTCTGCTTCACTGTTCCTCTCTCTCTCTCTCTGCGCATGTTCCTAATTGGAAGCGCGCTCTGTGTAGCTAGCTGATCTTATCTCAGCAGTCCTTCGGCAAGGATGCTAACCGTACTGCTTTAAATACAAATGGCCACTAGAGCAGGGGTGGACAAGCTCCGACACTCCGGCTGTGGGCGAAACTACAAATCCCAGCATGCATCTGCCATTGGGAGTAGTGGCTGTGGCTGTGAGAACCTTGCAATGCCTCCTGGGAGTTGTAGTTCCACCCACAGCTGGAGGGCCGAGGTTTGCCCACCCCTGCTCTAGAGGGAGCACGCGAGCCAGATAGGCAGAAAAGCGTCATTGGTCTGATATTCTATATTTTGGGGCGTATTCTCATGTTTCAGATGTTTAAAGGTAAGCGGCTGGAAGGTGACAACACCTCGGGGGTGACAACGGCTGGAAGGTGACAACACCTCGGGGGTGACAACGGCTGGAAGGTGACAACACCTCGGGGGTGACAACGGCTGGAAGGTGACAACACCTCGGGGGTGACAAGGGCTGGAAGGTGACAACACCTCGGGGGTGACAACGGCTGGGGTCATGTTGTGACAATGACAATGGCCCAGGATCAGATGAGTTCTGATTGGCTGCACTTTGGCCGTCGCTGAACTCCACACAGTGTGATTTCACTTCTCTGACCCGCTGGCTTGTTCCAGGTCAGGGACACAGAGCAGAGGGATCAGTATGACAGCCAGGGAACCGGCATTTTCCGGAAGCAGCCTACGTATCTCTCTCATATACGTACGGGTGTCACAGGGACAGGAAATGAGGGAGAATCTCCCCAGCGGGGTCACACATAGAATTAAAGATCTAACTACAATGGCCGCTCACCGGCTCCACCCGAAATGTAAACACAAATTGTGTACGATTCACCTTTAATAACGAGTCCGGAGTGTGTGATGCGTGTGATGTGTGCTGTGCGTGTGATGTGTGCTGTGCGTGTGATGTGTGCTGTGCGTGTGATGTGTGCTGTGCGTGTGATGTGTGCGGTGCGTGTGATGTGTGGTGTGCGTGTGATGTGTGCTGTTCGTGTGATATGTGCTGTGCGTGTGATGTGTGCTGTGCGTGTGATGTGTGTGATGTGTGCAGTGCATGTGATGTGTGCGGTGCGTGTAACGTGTGTGGTGCGTGTAATGTGTGTGATGTGTGCGATGCGTGTGATGTGTGTTGTGCGTGTGATGTGTGCTGTGCGTGTGATGTGTGCGGTGCGTGTGATGTGTGCGGTGCGTGTGATGTGTGCGGTGCGTGTGATGTGTGCGGTGCGTGTGATGTGTGCGGTGCGTGTAACGTGTGTGGTGCGTGTAATGTGTGTGATGTGTGTGGTGCATGTGTGATGCGTGTGATGTGTGCTGTGTGGAGCGTGTGATGTGTGCAGTGCGTGTGATGTGTGCGGTGCGTAGTGCATGATGCGTGTGGTGTGTGTGTGATGTGTGCGTAGTGTGTGATGTTTGCGGTGCGTGTGATGTGTGCGGTGTGTGTGATGTGTGCGGTGCGTAGCGCATGATGTGTGATGTGTGCCTAGCATGTGATGTGTGTAATGCGTGTGATGTGTGCGGTGTGTGTAACGTGTGTGGTACGTGTAATGTGTGTGGTGCATGTGTGATGCGTGTGGTGTGTGTGATGTGTGCGGTGCATGTGCGGTGCGTGTGATGTGTGCGGTGCGTAGTGTGTGATGTGTGCAGTGTGTGTGATGTGTGCATAGTGTGTGATGTTTGCGGTGCGTGTGATGTGTGCGGTGCGTGTGATGTGTGCTGTGCGTGTGATGTGTGCTGTTCGTGTGATATGTGCTGTGCGTGTGATGTGTGCTGTGCGTGTGATGTGTGTGATGTGTGCAGTGCATGTGATGTGTGCGGTGCGTGTAACGTGTGTGGTGCGTGTAATGTGTGTGATGTGTGCGATGCGTGTGATGTGTGTTGTGCGTGTGATGTGTGCTGTGCGTGTGATGTGTGCGGTGCGTGTGATGTGTGCGGTGCGTGTGATGTGTGCGGTGCGTGTGGGGTGTGCGGTGCGTGTAACGTGTGTGGTGCGTGTAATGTGTGTGATGTGTGTGGTGCATGTGTGATGCGTGTGATGTGTGCTGTGTGGAGCGTGTGATGTGTGCAGTGCGTGTGAGTGTGATGTGTGCGGTGCGTGTAACGTGTGTGGTGCGTGTAATGTGTGTGATGTGTGTGGTGCATGTGTGATGCGTGTGATGTGTGCTGTGTGGAGCGTGTGATGTGTGCAGTGCGTGTGATGTGTGCGGTGCGTAGTGCATGATGCGTGTGGTGTGTGTGTGATGTGTGCGTAGTGTGTGATGTTTGCGGTGCGTGTGATGTGTGCGGTGTGTGTGATGTGTGCGGTGCGTAGCGCATGATGTGTGATGTGTGCCTAGCATGTGATGTGTGTAATGCGTGTGATGTGTGCGGTGTGTGTAACGTGTGTGGTACGTGTAATGTGTGTGGTGCATGTGTGATGCGTGTGGTGTGTGTGATGTGTGCGGTGCATGTGCGGTGCGTGTGATGTGTGCGGTGCGTAGTGTGTGATGTGTGCAGTGTGTGTGATGTGTGCATAGTGTGTGATGTTTGCGGTGCGTGTGATGTGTGCGGTGCGTGTGATGTGTGCGGTGCGTGTGATGTGTGCGGTGCGTGTGATGTGTGCGTAGCATGTGTAACGCGTGATGTGTGTGTGTGATGTGTTCCGTGCGTAACACGTGATGTGTGCAGAGCATGTGATGTGTGCGTGTGATGCGTGTGATGTGTGTGTCCTGTGATCTGATCCCGGAGTCTCCGTGACGTGATGATGAATAGGAATGTTTGTTTACTAATAGTGATGGACGTCATGTGACACACAGAGGTTATCAGAGGTCACATTGTGACAAACTCGGGGCGCACACGGGGGACCCAACATGCCCGGCGTTTATTGGGGGGGAGGGGGGACTG